TCTCGATAAAATTGGTTTCGCTTTATATTATCATAAACCCGGGGCAATATTCCATCAAAGAAAGGTTATTACGTACGGGAAAGTCTCTATGCTTCGAAGCTCACGCAGTCATTGGGCAGATAGTGAATCTCTCACGTCCCGTGTTGGTAGCGGCTCAACGACATATAGAGCCCACAGAATAACATAAATCATCTTTACATGGATATGGGCAGATGACAAATCGTTATATTCCAAAAGGCAACAGTTCATCGACATCGGGTCATCGAGATGATATTGACAAAATTAAAGGAGTGACAGAGTTCAATAGAGCTCAACAACAAGAAGGTAGAGTGACCCTAAAAGGTAAAGGTAACTGGTTTGGGGTATCATACACAGCTACTAAGACCCTAAGTCTACCCTGTCGTGAAGGTAGTCAACCAAAAATGTTTTGAGATCCCTAGTCAGCAATCTGTGAATTGTGTCGTCCACAGGGACCTCAGTAGCCCTAAGGTAATGAAAGGAAACTCTATCCTATGACTATAAGTTAAAGCTTCAAGAGGTGGGATTTATACTCACTGAAGTGATGATGATGTATTAAGAAAGAAGATAAGTGGAGGTTCTGGTACAAAGTCGGAAATGCTCCAAAAAAATGACTTACACACCGTCTTGGTTGGGGAGTCTTGTAATACCCTATGCGCACTAGAAAACCACCTATATAAAAATTTATGTTGGGCCAGTCAGGTTGGAGAAGCACGATGACTTCTCCTCAGGACATGCAAATATGAATGCAATTATTTAGAGCGGGCTTTAGATATTATGGAGACCCTACTAATAATGACATGGGTTATAGTCATGCATACAGTCCATTTAAAATCTGGCCCGAAGGCCATGCAAGAAAGTAAAATGTGCAGTTTTAAAATTCTAAATATTTTAATCTTAAAAATTCATTTATCTTGAATATTTCATTAGGATTTTTGTAAAAAACTTTAGAATTTTAAATCTTAAAGAGCCTATATTGTATCGTGATTCCCCTTACAAATCATAGAAATAAACAAGGAAAATATCCAAGCATGCAGTCATGCAACAAGGCAGAAAAACAAGCCAAATCAAATAAATAAGAAAGGTCAATGTCGTCGGGTCGGCAACCTATCTTAGAAAAGAAAAAGGCGGTCAGACTCCGCATATACATGTTTGGTATTAATTCTATATATGAATATAAAACACAGAATTATGATACGGGACACAAGAATCTGCTCCTGGTCCCCTCCACGTGGTTCCCGCGCCAAATGTCTCGGAACTCATGCTCTTATCATATTTTTGCTACAAAACTCTCATAAACTCTAAAAAGTACATAAGAAAAGTAAAAAAAGGACCCGACCTGCATGAAAACAAATGTCAGTGGGAAAGCCAAGAACATGCAACGTATAACGAGTCGTGTCTTATAACTGGGAGAACTGAATAGTACCTGCAAGCAAAAGAGTCAGAAATCATCACATGCTCCCTCATAGCGGTACCTGTGTGTGTGCATGTAGAGGCACGAGTCCCTACAGAAAATCGCCCTAACATACTACCGCGCATATCAAGCATGCAAGGACACCAAAAGCACAAAGCAAAAAAGATGTCTGGCTATGACAATTAATCCAGTAAAAAACAATAGTCATACATAAAAAAAATTATATAACACCCTAAATCCTAGTCTAGCACACCATCTAATGAAAAGTGTCCTAACCTAGTACCTAAGTGCACGGGGTAAGTCTTCGGCTACCGTATGACTTTGACGGGGTCTCCACACCGGCCCCATCCTAAAGATCCAAGGGATCTAAAGCATGTCACGAAGAGGAATAACATTTTAAAAGAGATGTTCTCACATATGACCTAACATATATAATTTTAAAAATTGGCGGATATACTTACAATAGCAAAAATCCATGTTTATACTTTTAAAATAACAGACCTGCAATGCGGGTCCGTGACACATATGACGCATGTTAGAACCCTTAGATTCTTAATACAGTCATACATGTTTGTTGCTCGTGATACAGAACTCGCACTGCTCGTGGAGGCATCCTTATGGGCAACGCTCGTTTGAGTACCATGACCAACAAACATGTCACTCTTCTAACAAACGGGTCAATTTTATATTATTTTTTTCTAGAGGGTTGTGCATAAAGAACAATATGTGAGATTAAATCCTCAACTACTATAAGATAGTAAATGCACTCCACTAAATGAACTCCATCCAAACATTTAAAAAAAAAAAGAAAAATTAAATCCAATGCTAACTTAAATCAAATTTTATTCATTCTTTTGTGACATAAATTTGGATTTAGTAAGTTCAACGTGCCGTATATTTAGGGTCCGTTTGGGGCAGCTTATAAGTGCGGGCGGCGTTTTCAAAACGCCGCCGTTGGTTCGCGCGTTTCGTCAGCTTATCTGAAACTGTGTTTGAGTTTTTATACTAAACGCGGGTCGCGGGTCGACCTAACGGACCCTTAATAACAATTTTTTCCACTGTCGCTTGAGAGCTCATCTCCGGCATGCAGTATATCGAATTTATTGACTTTGATAAATTCTATTTAACATAAACTAAGGTCGCAGCCAACCACAACAATGATGTAGTGAAGAAATGTTCTGAGAAGCCACTAAGAAAAAAAAACAATACCGCAAGGCAACGGCAAAAAACGATACCGTAAAGCAACGGCATGTCTTGCGTATTCGTAGCAGCATGCCGACAAGGAGCCGCTCCATGTGCTTCGCCTCCTCAATAACCATACCTTATTCTGTATTCTTCTTCGCACAAGCTCCCCACGCAATCGGTATCAGAAGTTCTGAACATTTTCAGCTGTTAGTTAACTGTTGGTTAACATGTTCTGGTCACCGTTTTTAATAGTTTTTAAATAATTTTATTTGTACCGTCTTTTAATATTAAAATGCAGAGGGGAATGAATTAGATTAAGAGCCGAAATAATAAATGATTGGTTTGAAGTCTTCTAATATAAAAAAAATTGAAATATTTATATCTGTACGACACAATTTTTATGCATATACAATTTTTTTTTGTATAATTAATAAATGTGATTTAAATTTATAGCATTTTGATGTCATATATTTATGCATAAGAAAATAAATTTTATTTTAAGAAATTAAAAATAATGAGATATTTAAATCTTATTGAATTAATTAGATACATTTATCGGCCATGGATCTCAAGATGTGATAAGAATCTTGAGATAATTTTTTGAGCAAGGAACATTAGAACTTTAATTAAAAATCATTTAGAATCCTGATTTCAGCAAACTTACAGGTAAATTAACTGATTCAACAAGACATGCTCAATTACACCAGAATTGATGCAATTCAAGTCAGATCAAGCTTGGATGAAGTCATTAAACCACTTCTGAAAATTTCAGGTGGTTAATTGGAAGGTCAAAGGATTCAAACTGTGACAAACTTAATGTCAAATCGTGCATCTCGAAAAGAAGAATCAAACGAGCTCATAGCCACTTAATTTTCTGACATTGTTAAGGCACTCAAATATTTATAAAATAGCATTCAATCAAGCGAACCTTTTTTGATCGTTTGATAGAGTGGCATATGTTGCAATGACTTGTCACACATACGTTGAAATGCTCATTAAAGATGATTTAACAATGTACCCCACAATAACAACCACCGTAGTTAGGATGCATTGATTTTTTTCGAATTCCTAAATCTCTTTCTTTGCAGCCTGCCACTATGGTTTAAGTGGTCCACAACTCATGTCACTTCCAACTCTAATCTATCTAACTTATGAACTTTATCATAGTTCATGCAAATCCTAACTCTGGCCTCTACAGTCTATCGACATTATCACATCTCATACAGCTCCCAACGGCGGCCCCTATGGCCTAAGGATGTTATCATTGCTCATGTATCTCCCAATATCGACCTATGTGACCTACGAACATTATTACAACTCACCATTGTTGCCTTCGTGACCAACTAAGACCCCATGATCAATAACTCATGCAGCTTCAAACTCAAGCCTATGCAACATACGAGTATTATCACAACTCATATAGCTCCCAACTCCAGCCTCCGTGGCTTATAGACATTATCACAGCTCATGCAGCTCCCAACTCCGACGTCTGTGGTCTATGGACGTTATCATAGCTTATGTAGCTTTCAACTCTGACCTCTATAGACTACATAGATTATGACAACTCATGTAGCTCTCAACTCCGGTCTTTGTGGCCTACGAAAGGTAGCATAGTTCATGTAGCTCCCAACTCTGACATTTGCAACCTACATACATTATTATAACTTCTCACTATGACTTACGTGACTAACTACAACCTACATTATTCACAACTCACAAAATTCCCAATTTTGGCCTTTACGGTCGATGGACATTATTGTAGTTCCCTATCAAAGCCTCATTGATCAACCGACACTTTTGAAGCAACCATCTACAACCTACATGACCAATTACTTCCATAGCTTTCAGTTGCCTCCTCTACAACAAAATGTCGTTATAACAACCATCTATAATATTCATAAAGAACTACTGCCTCCATAACAACTGATTATCGTCTTTGCAGTCTGTTATGAGTATTATTGATGAAATATCGTTGTGTACCAACTCTTTAATTTCATCTTCCCTAACTCAAGAGAAAAGTGGGTCTATGTACTCAACATTACGTCATGGATTATTTCAATTAGGCTAGGTCTTGTGGGTTTTCCTCTTTTTTAAAGTTTTTCTTGTAAAAAGTAGAGGTATCTGCTCCTATTACTTTTTTATGATTTGAGTGTGTAATGAATTTTCACTTAACACTAATACTCTAAATATCACTCCACCACGATGAATTCTATTACATGCATTATTTAAAAATATGAAAGTCAAGTAATAGATATATAACACATAAAAACTATATGAAATATATATATAAATGCCCCTAAAAATTTTAAACATAGAATTAAAAAAACATGCAAAGTAGGAATAAGAAATAAAATACTTGACTTATCTCTTCCTGAAATTATAAATTATTTTTTAAATAGTGGTGCTGCGAATTTCCCCGCACGCGCGGTGATCCTATCCCAATCCTTCCTTCATAACAACCGCCATAATCCCCACTTAAGAAAACAACAGATACCCACTAATCACCCCACGAAAAACCCCAACAAGCCGCGCCAAGTTCATCAATCATTCCCATGGAACTCCACTTCGAAAACCTAAAGGCAATCCGCCTCCTGGGCCGCGGCGCCACCGGCACCGTCTTCCTCGTCGCCGACTGCTCTTCTCCGTCAACTCCACCCTTCGCCCTAAAAGTCGTCGAGAAACACAATCCGTTCGCGAAACCCGACAGCGAGCTCCGAGCCCGCTGGGAAATCTCCGTCTGCTCTCGCCTCCTCGCAGACCGCCACCCCTTCCTCCCCTACCTCATCGGCAACCTCGAAAACCCCGACCTGCTCGCTTGGGCAATCCCTTTCTGCCCCGCCGGAGATCTCAACTCCCTCCGCCACTCCCTCCATCCCGACCGCTTCTTCTCCACCTCCGCCATCCGCTTCTACCTTGCCCAACTCATATCCGCTCTCTCCCACCTCCATTCCCTCGGCATCGTCTACCGCGACCTCAAGCCGGAGAACATCCTCATCCAATCCACCGGTCAAATTCTTCTCACCGACTTCGATCTTTCCCGCCGTATAAGTATTTCCCCTCGAACCCTCCCCCTTCCATCCTCACCCATAAGCCACGAAGACCGCCACCGCCGCCGCCGTCATTATCTTAATTTTACCCGCATCTTCTTTGGCACGCAACACAGCTCCGTCCCGGCCGCAACCCCATCAGAAATGCAGCTCAAGAAAGCGAAATCCGCAAAGGTTTCTCCAGTGAGCCGGCAACGCGCCAGCTTTGCGAGCGGATTAGAGAGATCCCACTCATTTGTTGGGACGGAGGAGTACGTTTCGCCGGAGGTGGTAAGAGGTGACGGGCATGAGTTCGCCGTGGATTGGTGGGCGCTGGGTATTTTGGCATACGAGATGGCGTACGGCCGGACGCCATTCAGAGGGCGGAGCAGGAAGGAGACTTTCCGCAATGTGCTGACGATGGAGCCGGAGTTTGTGGGGAAGCAACGACCGGAATTTAGGGATTTGATCACGAGGCTGCTTGAAAAGGAACCAGAGCGGCGGTTGGGGTATTTCGGTGGGGCGGAGGAAGTGAAGGCGCACCCTTTTTTTAATGGATTGAAATGGGAAATGCTCGCCGACGCCCCGCCCGCGGTGGGCGGCCGCCGTTTCTTGCGACGGCGGAGGAGATTGAAGAGGGAGAGGTGAGGTTGCCGGATGCGGATAGAACCACCTGGTTTGATGTGAGGGATTACTTCAAGAATTTGCGGGAGAAGCAAGCGGCAACGGCAACGTTAACGGCGTCGGGGTCGTTGGGGGAGTTTTAACGGTAATGGGAGCAAGTTTTTTTCTTGCTACTTTTGGAAAGGGGCGAAGAGGTTTGCCGGAGGGGAAGTAAAGACATGGCTCTGGAAAAAAACATTATCTCCGAAGGACACAAATTCTGTCTGGATAATTGCTTCAATCTATCCGGGCCTTTTATTTTTTTTATCCTCGGCTCTCTCACTTCTTTCGATTGTCCGGATGCAACTTGTATCCGAAACGTCGAACGTCATATATTTTCATGGGAGTGAAGTTGGGGTTATAATTGTACTTTACTGTAAAGTTATGTGGAGTTCTTAGTTAGCTCTGGGTGTGCAGGTGTGCGGTTGATTTCACCGTTAAGATTATCGTTTTGTCATAAAACTGTTACTGACATTATAACTTATTTTGAAAGAACTTCATACAAAAATTTTTTTATTTTTTTCTCAAAAAATTGAATACCAACTATCTTCTTATGAGGCAATTACATACAGACCCCGAAACTTTCTATTTACAAATCAATCACTCTCCTTCAACCATGTTTTAAAATTCTCACTCAATTGTCAAAATTCATGATAAAACCCCTATCCTTATTTTTCACTTTTTTCAAATTCTCAATAGATTGGCCATGGCACTCTTAAATTCATCTATTTTGCTGTTTAAAAAGTCACTAGTTGCTTTATTTATAAATATCTATATTTTGGGTAATATGTATGTAATTATACATTTTTATAATTGTTGTGTCAAAAAAATTCACGTAATTAAATGATATTTAATGTCTTAGTGTTGCATGAAAATCCAGTACACTGTGGATAAAAAAACAACAAGAAGTGACATTGTTACTTTTTTTACATGAAAAAATTACTGGTATAACCTAGTCAAAGTAATTCACTATACAATTGTAAGCATATAGATCTGCTCTCCTCGTGAATTAGACAATATCTAATTGCAATATTGATAATTACATATCTACAATAGTAGTTATAATAGTAAAAATTGGGCTACAACAAATGTGGTTATTTGTTGTAATAACAATAGTTAGCCATAAAATTTTGGTTGGCCATAAAATTTATAGTCGATGGCTACAATAGCGACATTTGGTCATAGAGGCCCTAGGCGATGGTTGAAATAGTAACAGTTGATCACAAAGACCGTAGTTGGAAGACATAATAGTGTCAGTCTGTCATAGAGGTTGTAGTCGGTAACTATGGCAGTGTCAGTTGGCTACAGATGTCATAGTTAGAAACTCTAGTAGTAACTGGCCACATAGATCGTAATTAGGAGCTGCAAGAGCTTCAATTAACCACAGAGGCTGTAGTGGGAAGCTGCAGTAGTAACTGACCACATTTGTCGTAGTTAGTAGCTGCAAGAGTGTCAGTTAGTCACATAAGAGTGGAAAGCTGCAGTAGTAACTAGCCACTTAGGCCAAAGTTAGGAATTAGTTACATATATAATAATTGCTCCCATATGTTGTAGTTAGTAGCTATAGTAGCAGTTAGTCATATAGATCTTAGTTGATAGCTACAGCTGCATCGGTTGTCCACAAAGATTATAGTTGTAAGTCGCGGCAGCATTTAGTCACTAAGTTCGTAGTTGGTCACATAGGTCCTAGTTGGTAGTAGTAGTAGCATTAATTGGTCATAAAGATCATAGTTAGAAGTAGAAGTAGCACTTAGTCACATGGGCTGTAGTTGATTACATAGACCGCAGTTGATAGTTGCAGTAGTGTAAACCACAGAAGTCTTAGTTGGAAACTATAGTGGTAGTTAGTCATAGTGGTCGTAGCTACTGTTTGGACTCCCCTTAGGTAGAATGGGTTACATTTTTACATTGAACAGTGCATTTTGTTTATACAACGTGAAGGAAAATATATGCGCTCAAAACAACCATCGTATTATTACTACAAAAGTCTTGAGCAGTGATCGTCAGTGGCAAGTAATTGGCATTAGTCGATGGTAGTCGACGACTACTAAGGCCGAATGTTATTGCAAGATCTTCAATACATTATAACCAAAGAGACCTAAGCCCATAAAAAAAATTAAAGGAAAATTTATACACATACGAAACACAATTCTTGTGGATTTACATATCGAACGCTTAAAATTTAATATTTACATTTATAACACTGTAGTCTTATAAATGTAAATATTAAAGTCAGGATGATATATATGTAAATACATAAGATGTATGCAAATGCCCAAAATAAATTAAAAATACATTAGCCAAGCTGACATTCATCATTTTCCATATGAAAAACGGTGGGCTAGAAAAGATAGGGTAGTATACCATAAATAGATAAATAAATAAATTCCACTTAATATATCCAATAAAATCTCTGAAAATAAGTTTGAGGATCTTGCTTACATTTACAAAAATGTAGATTTAAAGTCATATATTTGCAAAATTTCAATCAATTTCATAAATATCGAAAATGATCACAACTCTTATAGTTCATACGCGATGAGCCACTTTCTCAAAGTGTCCTTCACTTGATATATAAGTGTAAATTGTTCATAAAAGATTAACCGTGACTTTGGAGTGAGAATTGTATATACAGTTAATATAATTATCCAAATGTTGTGGATTAGAATGCAAATAATTAAATATGATATATAATTTATTAAACGAGACCATTATTCCTTCACATGCTATAGTTCCTTGTAGCCTCTCTAAATTAAATCTCCCTATTTTCTAGGTTTGGGATAACTTAATGGTTTTATAAGATTTCAAGAATATTTTCCAGCCCGTGCCACGGCTCTTTACAAGGGAAAAACAGAATATAAAAAATGTGCCACAGGACTAATATGACGAGCTTAACCTTAGGCCCTATTAATTAAGAGAAAATATTGCATCAGGATTCCGCACGGAGAGTTACGTGCGAAGTACAATGAAATCACGTTACGTGGCGGTGATAGAAAAAATATAAAATTTGTTTGGTAAAATAAGAGAATATTTCTCTTGTGTTATTCAGGTGGTATTGTGTGTTATTCAATAGTTATTGATATATTATTGTGTTATTATAATACTGGGAATATTCTCAAAACACTAACACCATAATAACATACAATAGCACGGAATAACATCGGGGAATATTTCTCTGTGTTACAAGACCGATTTTTTTTTTTGTACCTCCACGTGGTGTGATTTCATTGGACTCCGCACAAAACTCAACGTGCGGAATCCTGATGTCATAATTTTTCATTAATTAACTAGTTAACGATGGGATAAGCACTATATTTTATGAAGATTTACAAACATAACACTCAAGTCTTATGTATTTATATATCTAACACTTAAATATTAATTTTTACATATATGCTACTTTAGTTAATGCAAGAAAAAGGTGTATTTCAAGTTTTAAAAATTGAAATTATGATATTTTTGATGACATGTGAAAGATTTGGGCGGTGTAAATGTAATCAATAAATTTAGATGTTAGGTATTTAAATACGTAAGCATTGAATGGTATGTATGTAAATGCCTCTTTATTTAAACAACGAACAATAACAATAATCAAATAATGAAGTTAAAGATTAGAAGAACAAATCTCGCCGGTTTGTTTGCTGCAACGCCCTCCCTCCAAGAGAAATAGAAATATGGAGGAGAAACAAAAAATCAACAGCAAATTGTCTGGATTCTTTCATGCACAGAACAAAATTGTTATAAGGACAAAAATTAAAAGAAAAGGATAACTCAAGAAATTTACATAATTACAGGGTTGATGTGTGACAGGAAATTTGTGGCAGTAGGGTAAAGAATTATTGACTTAGGGATTGTTTGGTTTGCTGAAAATTAAGTATACTGTAAAAGGTTTACAGAGTGCTATTATGACAATGTATTTAAATACTTTTATATTTTGTTGTTTGGTATTTTGGGGAGGGGTGGGGGGCCACGTTCGGCGGCAGGGATAACGGCCAAAATGAACTAAGAGTGAACTTTGAATTCAGTGAAACTTTACATTGTACTTGTACTTCTTCATACCAAACACATAATTTCCTCAAATCCTTATAAATGAATTACAGTACATCACAAATCCTTATAACCAAACAGGCTATTGGCATTATACGAGAATCCAATAGTCACTCATATTACAAATCGTTACGGATGACAAAAGTTTTTACATGAAAAACTCAGAAAAAAAAAAGCATGTGGTTATGCCCAGTTGAAATATTTCACTACGAGTTGGTAATTAATTGTAGAGTCTCTTATCCACAAGCGGAAAAGATTTACACAGTTTCTCAAGTTAAAACATCGGTGCATGGAAAGACTTGTTGTCCCGTTGAAGGGATTAGTCATAGCGGGAATGAATGTTAGAGCTTCATTGCTCTGCCTTCGGGGTTGGCACGATGTTCGAGATGTTGCGCCGCTTCATAGGTTACTTCTTGATTCTGCGGCATTGGTTGTTTCTTTACTCGGTATTTTGTTGTAAGGATCGGGCAGCAGTCAACAAGCAGTAGCCTTGTAGGAACATGAGGTGTTTGTTGGATTATTGATGCAGGATCCTAGGCTTCAGCTCCCTCCTCTGTAGGCTCAGACCTTCCTTATGCCTGGGATCAAGTCTCCTTCTCAAGAAGGGACACGGCTCTATTCACAGAGTCCATGTTGTAAATAAGAAAAAGATATGAACCATTATATTCATACGGTCCGAAAAGATCTCATTGATCAGATGATGTTTGATGGCATTTGAATGCCTTAATTGTGTCAAAATTGAGCGGTTTTGGTATTGTTCAGTCCATCCCGTCGAGCCGATCAGTTTGGATGTAAATTTGTTGAAATTATAGTTATGGATGACTTTAATCAATGTTGGAATGGTTTTGTTAAAAAAGCTATCCCCATATCCATATTGGAGGATGAAAATTTATGCAACGCATATCAAGGATCACTATCACTTTTAAAATTTTTAAATT